CAGTAGATGGAGTTTTTGGGGAGCTCTAAACTCATTTTATCCCCTCTAGCGACTGTTATTCTGCTGATTTTCACAGTACCATAATTGAGAGGCAGTTGGTTTTTACTGCTACCACAGTGCTAGGGAGAGAGGAATGAAATTAGTATAAGTTATAATACCACAAAGCTCATTGGTCTTACTGAGAGTTAGCTGTTTTTCTTGAATAAATGCTGCTTGGATTGTTGCAAGCTTTTAGTTAATTTTCAGAATTATGAAAAAATCGATTCAGACCATTTTTGCTGGTGCACTTGTTGCTTCCATGCTGGTTTTTGAAGGTTCTTATTCTTTCGTACCAGAAGTTAACTCCCCTCCTTCGTATATTTGTTATTTTAAAACACATAGTAGGGGGGTGGGGGGATTGGGTGGTACATTCCAAGACCTCCAGTGTCGGGGATGCCTGATTGTTGTCAGTGGGAATGGTCTCTGTTCATGTCTCCAACCCGGCTGGAGCTGGTCTCTGGCATTAACCTCCTTTCTACCTTCAAAGTTCTCTAAGGATTCTTAGCTGACTTGTGCTATAAAGACTTAAGCACATGAAATTCCCTTTCACTTAATCTACACAGTCTGTGCCAAAATGCCCCAGCATTTTCTTTCTTTTGTAATATTTATTTATAAAAATAGTACTTATACTAATCACATATACATTACTTCTCTCTTAGGTCCTAGTGGGCATGCCCCACATCTCTAATGATTTTTTTTTTTTTTTGAGTTGGAGTCTCACTCTGTCACCCAGACTGGAGTGCAGTGGCCACTCCTGGCCACCGCAGCCTCGACCTGCTGGGCTCCAGCAATCCTTCCGCCTCAGCCTTCCAAGTAGCTGGAACTACAGGTGCACGCTACCACGCCCAGCTAATTTTTTGATCTATTGTGGAGATGAGGTCTCGCCAAGTTGCCCAGGCAGATCTCGAACTGGCGAACTCAGTCAATCCACTCACCTCAGCCTTCCAAAGCATGGGATTACAGGCTGAGCCACCAAGCCGGGCTTCTAATGATTTTTTGAGGTAGTATGAATTACATAACTCATTTATCCCCCCTTATAGTTTAGATCTTCAGTGTCTGAATGTAAATATGCAAACTCTTTGTAAGATGCAAACTCCACTCTACTGTGTTGCTATTTTTTAGGCCAAAAAAAAAAAAAAAAAAAAAAATCTGAGAACACTGAGAATGTTGTGTCATTTTGAGTAGCAAGATTCTTATAGTCCAATCAGATAAGCAACAGGTAATTTTTAGAAGTTGTTTTTAAATTTCAAAATATTACCTTATAAAATGCAAAATTACAAGTATTGGTGAGGGTATAGAGAAACAAAAACCTTGTGTATTACTGGTAAGAATATAAAGTGGTGTGGTCACTGTGAAAAGCAATATGGCAGTTCCTCAAAAAATTAAACAGAATTACCATATGATTCACCAATTCCACTTCTAAGTATATAACCAAAAGAATTGAAGTAGTGACTATAACACATATTTGTACATCTGTGTTCATAGTGGCATTATCTGCATTAGCTAAAAGGTGGAAGCAACCCACCCAAGTGTCTACCAGCAGATGAATGGATCAACAAAATGTGGTATATACATAAAACGGAATATTATTCATCCTTAAAAGGAAGAAAATTCGGACACATAATGTAGATGAATCTTAAAGACATTGTGCTAAATGAAATGAGTCAGTCACAAAAGGACATATATTATATGATTCCACTTATGTAAGATACCTAAAGTAGTCAAATTCATGGAGATAAAAGGTAAGATGGTGGTTGCCAGGGGGTGGAGGGAGGGAGAAATGGGAATTAGTTGTTTAATGGGTGCAGAAATTGTTTGAAAAGATAAAAACTTCTGGAGTTGGGTGGTAGAAATGAATGGTAGTGATGGTTGCAAAACAATATGAATATGTTTTATACCGTAGTACTATACACTGAGAAATGACTAAAACAGTAAATGTTAGGTATATTTTACCACAATTTTAAAAAATGAAATAAAAAATTAAAAATAATATATTTTGTTAGAAAAAATTTAGGCAATACAGGTTTTGAAAAGTAGAAGTAAAACTTTTCCTTTGTCCTTCTACTTTGGGATAGCTATAAATTATAAACTTATTTTACTTTTTATAATTTATAAATTACATATGCAGTGACATAAGTTTATAATTTATAGCTATACTTTTTTATACCACAGTATAACAAAGACACTTTTCCATGTTTGTTCAAAAGCTCTTCACCCTGACCCTTTTTATGTGGTAGCCATGTCATAATTCATGATCTATCTGTACTGAAATTTATTTAGCCATTTCCCCATGCAAGTTCATTTTCATTTTTTCCAGTTTTCATTATAAACAATTATGTTTACAGTTGCCATTCTTGTCATATTACATGCTTACAGCATGGATTTTCTACTGCATATTTTGAACTTAGTATTGTGTTATAAAGCAGTAAAGTTTGTGACATGTAATTTAAACAATAAGCATTTTGTGTAATTATATGTGTGTATATATGTACGTGTATGTGTGTGTATGTATGTGTGTGTGTTTAAGGTGGCATTTTGGAAATTAAAACATGCTTTCCCAATTTTAAATGGTGGCTGAGTCCCCAGGCCAGTTCCTGAAAGTCTGTTTGATATAAAATGTCAGAAATTCAATACTGACTGTACAATAAAAATTAGCCACGGTCTATAGTTGTATTTCTCTGGGCCACTGGATTCCGAGTTTCATACTGGAGTGTCAGGAGCACAGCAAACAGCCCACTGTAAACCACTGGTGGTTAATCCTGTGGCCTTGATCAGGCTCATGGGCAGGATGGGAGAGTGTGGGCTGAGAAGGGATGGCAGGCCATGCAAGAGCTGGGTGGCAGAGTTAGGGCTGGAGCTGGGACTTTTGATTTCAGGTATTTTTCCAGCATGCAAACCGTGACCTGTGTCATCTCAAGTATAACGTTTGTTAGAAAACATATTGGCTCCAGCTTTATTTAGTGTTATGGTTCTTATCACATCCTGATTTTAAAAACTGTTTAGAAAGCATGCACAGGTGTTTTTGACAGTAACTTTGATCTGAATCACTACTTTTGGCTAGCTGCTCATTTTATGTGCCTTTCAGTCACCGAGTTTGGGGCACTCAGGAAGGGGAAGGTCAAGTGAAAGACATCCTTAAAAACATTTATTTGTAGATTATAGTGATAACCTGAAACTATGGCTTCATCTCTGTGCTGGTATTTGAATGGGACTGGTGGCTGTGGAGGACAATTTATTCATATATCCTACAGGTGGCTATTCACAAAAGTCCATAACTATGTTAATTCTCCTTATTTTTTTTTTTTAAATTGTTTTTATTAAAGTTACATTTCAAGTTTATAAGAATATAAAATACTAATCTCATCTCTTGTCTAGGATATTTCTATGAAGGAAAAAAAACTCAGAAAATCCACTCTTACTTTATAATCCTATGTATTTCCTTTTTATTTTTTTCCTTTCTAGCTATTTATTTTCTTTTTCTTTTTCAAAAAATTTATTTATTATAAAGATGTGGGGTACAATTAAGGATTAGGTATATATAACCAATCATGCAGGTACCCTTGTTGATGAGGTATACCCCTCCCTCCGAAAGCGATTGGCAGTAGTGGAAAACTGTCAGGGGAGGGAGGGGGGTGGGACTGGTAGTGGAGGGAAACTGCTAGTTCTCCTTATTTCTTCGTATCCCTCAACACCTTAAGAAAATGTTGTAGTACTCATGATTTCTTACCTCTGTAGTGACTTTGCCATATTCACAGCAGCTTACAATTAGCCATTGATCTTCAACATGCTAGAGAAGGAAAGAATGATAAAAGTGGGGATTACTTGGTTAACTTGGCTAAACTTACACACAGTATTATGTATAAGGAAAAGGACCTTTCATTATCATTTGACACATAACCATCCACATTTTAAAACTCTCTTGGATGAGGGAAGAAAAGTGACATTTATACCACATACCCTTATAAAGTGGCCCTTGGGGTGGAATTTAATCAGCCCTGGAGTTTGGGTGTATGCAGGGGTAGGCTCACCAGTCAGTAAAGGAAACACAGAGGTGTCATAAGCTCAAGAAGCCATCTTTTCTGTTAAATCCCCAGGTGGCTGCTTTCATGTCCTCTGCACTGTGATGTTGGGCTTTCAAGGCCTTTCATGCCTGAGAAGAAAGTCTGAGTGCCCCACTCTTGATTGTCTGGCTGATAAAACTTTCTGTCATGTTTACTATAGGAACAGTTTGTGTGAGTCTTTGACTACCCTCCAAGTCCTCTGTTTCTAGTACAAAGCCCTTTTCAAGATCTTTTATTTTATCTTTAAAATATGTATGTATGTATTTAGAGACAGGATCCTACTGTGTCTCCCAGGCTAGCGTGCAGTGGCGAGATGATAGCTCACTGCAACCTTGAACCCTGGGCTCAAGCGATCCTCTTGCACCACTGCTCCCAGCCATTCCAGCTCTTTTATATTATCAATATAAAGAGAAATGGGTATTATTTATAAAATTGTAATCCAGAATTGAATAATTTGTCTTCAGGCTTCTTCCTTGAAAACTGCGATAGCCATGTGTAAAATTGTTTAAATTTTACTTTTTATGAGGCTTGGGTGCATTATACAGAATATGGGGTTGTTTAAATGCAATATGACAGATAATAACATCCCGAGGAAATTTCTTTTCAATATCTACTCAGAGGAACAAAATCAATTTCTGGAAACTAGAACATTAAAAACAGACTACTTTTGATGAAAGGTAAGTAAAATCTAGGCAGTGACAAGTCTGACTACTTCTTCCCTCTATAGCCTTTAGCTTTAACTTCAAAATGACTTTGAATTTTTTTCTCCTGACTCATTTGAGAAGCCCTTACAGAACATTTTATTTCACACAGTATGGTGGGCGCAACATTGATTGTTATTGATTATAATCACTCTACCCAAAGCATAATAATTTAAGAAATTGTTTTTTTTTTCCTCAGGACTTGGACTAAAGTCTGATGAACTTCCTGATCAGATGAACAAGGCTGACTGGCCAGAAATGAAGAAGAAGTTTGCAGATGCATTTGCAAAGAAGACGAAGGCAGAGTGGTGTAAAATCTTTGACAGCGTAGATGCTTGTGTGACTCCGGTTCTAACTTTGCAAGAGGTTGACCGTCATTGTCATAACAAAGAACGGGGCTCATTTATTACTGATGAGGAGCAGGGTGTAAGTCCCCGCCCTGCACCTCTGCTGTCGAACACTCCGGCCACCCCTTCTTCCAAAAGAGATCCTTTTATAGGAGAACACACTGAGGAGATACTTAAAGAATTTGGATTCAACCAGAAAGAGATTGATCAGCTTAAGTCAGATAAAATAATTGAAAGCAATAAACTAACAGCTCAACTTTAACTTCCAGGCCCACAGCTCAAGTGAATTTGAATATTGCATTTATGGTGTAGAATAATACATAAAATTGTATGCATTGAAACATGGAAGAGCAGTGTTGTGGTGATCCAACTATTCTAATCAAGAGACAATTAAAGACCTTGATTACACAGTATTACTGAATTCTGAAAATGGTTATCATCAGGGCTTTTGATTTAGGAATATTTTGTGTACTTATACTAAATTGTGGTAGTTTTTCTGCTTTCCAATTGATGTAATTTATTTGTTGATATTAAGATACTAATATATTTTAAATAAATTAGTATAACATGTTTTTATTAAATAAAGCATTCTTTTTCCCTCAAATATACTTGTGCTTATAAATTTTTGAAATGCTTTCAAGAAATAGAACTTTATAATTCATTGAAATATTTTTGACTCTTGTTTATCACAATGGGTGTCCTTATATAGAGAAATCTGATCATTCTAATTTGACAAGGAAGTCACAGTCAATGTCTCTGAATTCCTTAGCAGATGTTCTGGAGGTTCCCTACAGGTAACTCTCACCCCTTCTTTCACTGCTCTACTGGGTACTTGGGTCCTCTGTGTGGGTGCCTGTTAGCCTCACCTGACTATACCTGACTGATAATACTTTTGCTTATTAAGCCCAATCTTTCCGCACTACCCAACCCACCAACACACTAGAATGGAAACCTTATGAGGGATTTTGTACATTTCTTAGTGGATTGTGCCATCATCCATTTGAAAGTCCTCTGTTACCAGCCTCTTGCTTCCATTCCCATCATGTCTCCCTCAGCCCCCGTAGGGCCTGCAGGGAGTCCTTTTCTGACCTCTGTCCAAAATAGCTGCTCCTTTGTCACTCGCTATCCCCTCACCCTGTCTTATTTGCCTTCATATCACTTATCACTACTGGTATTATATTTGCTTATTAAACCTAGTCTTCGCCCATGAACACACACTAGAATGGAGGCCTTATGAGAGATTTTGACCATTTCATTCATTGCTAAATCGCCAGTTTCTGGAATAGTGCCAGACCCATAGGGGAAATTTAGTAAGTCTTTATGAAATGAATAAATCTTGATAGTGAAGTGCTGTCAGTTCCATCTTAACTTCTCTCGAATCCATCCCCTCTGTCCTACCTCCATCTCCACTGCAGTTTCTCTTTAGGTCCTTTCTCTCTTCCCTTGACTCCAGCCTGGTTACCCTTTCTTTCTAGTATCACTGCCTTTGTTTTTTTCCCTCACCATGTTACTCTACTGGTATTCTTTTTGGCACCATACTGATCTTTTCAGTTCTGGGAAATTCTTCAAATTTTTCAATGGGACTCTTTTTATTTAAAAACAAAACAAAACAAAACAATAGAATATAAACTCTCACAGAACATATCAACCCTTTTAAGAATAAGAATTTTACCTAGCTGTTCTGCCCCATCCCTACTCTCTTTTCCCTAGCATGTTATATTGGACTACCTGAAGTTCCTAAATATGCTGTGGCCTCTCTGTTGCTTTCATTCCTTTCCATATACTGCATCATTTTCCAGGACTACAACCCCTCTTTTGCTCTAGCTTGTTGATCTAGCAAACTCAGGTTTGGCTCAAACACAGCCTTCTTTGTGATACTTTCTGTACTTCTCAACCCCCAGGTAGTTTTGAACAGTGGTGATGAAATGTAGGATGACTCTCACTTTATGATGGTGATATCTAAGACAATGCCTGGTGAAGTGCCTGACTGCCCTAGGTGCTCAGGATTGTTAGCTCCTATTCTTAAGGTCCTTGATGTTCCCATCACACTTTGTACATATCTCCAAGGATAATCACTGCTTTTATTATAGTATACAAGACTCTTGACTAAGCCAGAAGTTCCTAGAGTAGGAAAAAGAATCATCTAGAGCAAATAAAGGAATCACATGGAGATACTTATACACACAGATTTGGGCCCCACCCTCTGAGATTCTGTTGCAGTGGCTCTGAAGTGGGACCCGTGGATTAGTATTTCTTCCAAGCTTCTAGATGATTTTAATGATTCTGGTTTAATGACTGCAATTTGAGTAGCACTGTTCTAATGGTTGTGAACCAAATCTTTTTACCTTGGTTATTGTTATGATAGATGCTCAAAAAAAATACCTGTTGAGTAGATCAGTGAGAGAAAGGATAAAAGCAAGTTGGCAAAAATCTATAAACGGGCTAGCTTAGAATACCGATTTCTGTAATTAATTGGCTTTGCACAAAATGTTCAGATGAACAATTGGTTTTGGTAGGTGGCGAAATGTTCAATAATGAATATATAAGCAAGGTTAGTAGCTTAGTTAATGACCCTACTGAGATAGAAAAACAGGAATTAAGCAGGAAAGCTGACCTCAAGGGTCTTAAGCAAGCAGCTGCATGCCATTTCCCTTAACCGCAATCTCTGCTTCTGTAAACATGCTTTACTGCATCTCATATGGAAATGTCCATAAAGCTATCTACTTCAGTGCTTGTTGTGGAAGTCATCATTCCCAGTTCTAAATTTAAAATTGTAAACCCACAAATGGCAAACCCATGTATGTTGTAACCACAAAAAGCTCTATAAAAGCAGTTTGAAACTGACGGTCAGGGCTCAGGTTTTGGGAGGCTACTCTGCCTGGGATTTCTGGAATAAACACCTTCAATTCTCCTCTTGGTCTCCAGTGCCTGTTCTGAGTGCCTTCATTCCTGTTCCTAGTGAGTTGCTGCAGTTGCTGTAACAATACTTCCCTTCTTCTGATGAGTCTAAGAAAACCCTGTGCAGAAAATGTTACTCTTCCTCTTTTTTCAGTCATCTTTTGAGACATTGTAGATTTAGAAATAGACCAGGGGGCGAGTAAGGAGAAAATAAGAAGCTTTAAGGAGAGAGGAAGAGGAGCCTTGGCAATTGAAGATGACACATTGAAAGAGGAATTATATTTCTTTTTTTCTTCAATTAATTTATATATGTTAAAAATGTGGGGTACAATTCAGGAATAGGTACATAAGTGATCATCGTACAGGTGAAGTTTGGGCCTCCCATTTGTCCTCATTTGCCTGGTTTGGGACCAGGTACCCTTATTGAAGTTTTGTGCCCTGGAATTATATTCTTGAAGACATAGTTTGGTATACATTTATTTAACTCTTTTGATCATAAAACAAGTCACATGAAACAGGGTGACTGGTTGCATCTGGGCCTCTTGTCTCTGTATTCATGTTTCTTTTCTCTAAACACATTTTGGGCTTCAGCAACAATTACATTGCACTTTATATTTGCAAAATATTTTCACCTATATGAAATCTGGTTGCCTTCAACTGCAAGTAACTATGTCTGAAACAATAAGGAAATATTTTGTATCATAACCTAGAGTTCAGAGGGATGAAAATACTGTTAAAACATGGATTTCTTGTTTCTGAGTTTTAGGGTTACCTGTATCCCGTTACTTGGGCCCTGTTTCACTGTAATTCTCTGGGCTGCCAAGTTCATAACCTCCATATGTTCACTTCATATTCAGGCTGATGACAAGCTATGGATCTTATACCCAAACACAGCATTCAGAAGAAGAGAAATATCTCAGGAGTCCTCAGCATGCCTCATCTTGTGTCTCCTTGCCTTGGATTGAGTTAAGTCAAAGCCATTCCAATATCAGTAGTTGGCAGAGAAGGTAGGATCATCATCCTTGGATGAAGCCATCCTGTTCCCAGAGATGCCCTAGACTCAGCTTCCCAAAGTGCATGGGCATGCAAGGAATGGGGGGGAGGTGTTCAATAACCTAATTAAGGTTGTGTAAGGATGGAAGGTGTGGATGTTGGGTGGGCAGCTAGTAAAAACCATTATATATAGTGTCTCTATTGCTCTTCAACTATCAATCATAAGGGGAAAGTAGGTCAGTTTTCTTTGTTTTACAGACGAGGAAACAGAGACTTAGAATATCCTTGAGCTTCTTAGTTCATGTCTTCCTTGGTGTCTCAGTAATATTTTCATGGTGCTCTCAGCCAAAAGAAATACCTAAACATTCAATTTATAAATAAGTAGTTCCAAAAACATTAAGTATTTATGTCCTAACAACTTATTAGCTATTTGAAAAATGTAATACACATAAATCAAAAGAAAACATCGCCAGGCTCGGTGGCTCAGTCTGTAATCCCGCACCTTTGGGAGGCTGAGGTGAGTGGATTGCCTGAGCCCGCGGGTTCGAGACTCGCCTGGGCATCGAGACCTCATCTCTACAATAAATCAAAAAATCAGCCAGGCATGGTAGCGCATGCCTGTAATTCCGACTACTTGGAAGGCTGAGGCGGAAGGATCGCTGGAGCCCAGCAGGTCGAGGCTGCGGTGGCTGGCAGCGGCCACTGCACTCCAGTCTGGGCGATGGAGTGAGACTCCAACTCAAAAAAAAAAAAAAAAAAAAAAAAAAGAAAACATCATATTTTCCATTTTATTTCATTGTTAATCACAGTTATTTACTAAGGGGGCATATGCACCCATTGAACACTGTGCAGCATCTCATCTTGGAATCAGATTGGACACTGCTACCCTCATTTTTGTTCCATGTTGACTTTTATAGAGTACTTGCTTTTTATCACAATGACTGTGTAAAACCCAGGTTCATGGAAATATAAAATCATTGAAAGGACTGTAGTGCAATCTTATGTTTGCAAGTATGAATGACCTCACTAGTAGTGCATGTGATACCTGACAGATGTTGTTTTACTTTGTTTACTCTGTTCAAAAATTTAAATATCCTGAGATACTTCTGTGAATTCACTGTAATGTACAGGGTGCCTTGGCACACAATTTGAGAAACACCAGTTAAAGTGATTTTTGTCCAGGTGAATACAGCTAGGAAGAGGGAAAAAATCAGAATTTAAACTTTAATATCCTGACCCCAAGTCTTGCTCTTAAAGCATTTTGGGCCCCTTCTTATAAAACTATGTCTCCCTTACAACTTGGACTTTTCATCTGAATTCAGGGTCCAGCAAGGAAAATATAACCCATTCATAAAACAAAGGAGATTTAATTTAGTGAATTACAATGGTGATGAAAAAGCTGAGAAACTAAGGAGATAGTGAAGCAACCCAGACATGAGCCAAAAAAAGGCCACCAGGACCACTCCTAGGGTGCAGGGATGATGGGAAAGATAGTGTTACCTAGATTCAGAAGCCTGGTGGCAGATAGACCCACCTTGGAGATGCAGCAACTGCCAGAGACAACAAAGAGGGGAAAATACCCTGGCTTCTTCCCTTCTGCCCCATATCTTTTAACCAAGGCTTTCCATTAGCCAAATCTACCAAGGTGTCAGAGAGCAAGGGAAGCTGGGAAGTGTAGTCCTATAAAATAAATAACTCAGAAAGAAACATCTGAGCAAATGGGCAATTGACTGGCACTACAAAATGTAGTGTATACGTTTTATTCATTCAATAATTCCTTTAGCAAATATTTGTTGAGTACCTACTAGGTGCCAGGTATCATCTTAGTTGCTGGGGATACCATAATGAGTAAAACAGACCTGATCTCTGCTCTTAGGGCAATCAAAGACTAACACAGGTTACAGAATAAACACAGAGCTGCCTAGTTATAAAATGTGATAAGTGCAATAAGGGAAAATATCAGGGTGATATGAAACTGAGGAAAGGTGTGACCTCCCACCATTTTAAGTCTAGTTGTTTGACTCCTGAGCTGTGTGTGTAGAAAACTTATAGTCAGGAAAGGACAGAATATCTATAATAAGAAGTTTATAAAGCAATAGCAGCCCATTTATATTTTAATTTAACCCTGTGTTATAAGGCTTTATCTCAAAAGCACGTGTGTGATCAGTTTGTGTGTGTGTGAAAGAAAAAGAAAGGGGGCAGAAGAGAGAGAGAGAGAGAAAGAGGAAGAGAGGGAGGGAGGGAGGAAAAGGGAGAGAGGGAGAGAGAGAGAAACGAACACATTACAAAGGAAGATCCCTTTAGAAAAACATTCAAACATTCTAAGGAGCCAGAGGGCTCACAGCAGCTAATCTCTGTCATGCTTTCTAGCGCCACGCCACGCCTTCCCTCTCATCATAACTTGTGATCTTAGAGGCATGAAAGAATTTGAGCCCCTCCCCCAGCCTGACCATCTCTGGTAGTTGCTTAGCCAGGCTCCATGTCAAATCCAGTTTGGAGCACAGACCTGAGAACCACGCCGGAGGTGGTAGGCTCACCAAGTGGCTATGGGTGGCAACAGTGGACAGCCTGGCCTCCACACTTACAGATCCCTAGCTGAGGAAGCCCCCTTTGTCTCTGCGGAGCCGCCCAAAAGACCCATGGGCAGACTCATCATGCACAGCATGGTCATGTTCGGGCGAGAGTTCTGCTATGCGGTGGAGGCGGCGTATGTGACCCCAGTTCTGCTCAGCGTGGGTCTGCCCAAGAGTCTGTACAGCATGGTGTGGCTCCTCAGCCCTATCCTGGGATTCCTGCTGCAGCCTGTGGTCGGATCAGCCAGCGACCACTGCCATTCCAGGTGGGGCCGCCGGAGACCCTATATCCTTACCCTGGGCATCATGATGCTCATCGGCATGGCTCTATACCTCAATGGGGACACTGTTGTAGCAGGTAAGCGGACTGCACAAGGGGGGCAGGCAGGGATAAGTGTCCTCATGTGCAACTCTATAGAAAGAGAATGTAAATTTATTTGTCATTTCGTAGAATTTGGTGAGTACTGGTGATCATGCCTAGGTTACAATGAACTTCCACCTTTGAATAACCCAAAGCCTGTGGTTGGAGAGCCTTCTGGAAATATCAACATGCATTGTCTTTTGTTGTGAAGATTTTAAAATAGGATTAAGTTTTTATTTGCTTTATCAAATTAAATATTTTTGCCTGTTTATCAATTGTGTTTCTTCTTGAACCAATTATGCTCTATTTAATACTTCATCAAATGGTCCAGATGCCAAATAGTTCCATAAATATTTACAATATGTCACCTGTGTGTCCAAATGAGAGTTAATTCTGTTTATAGTTTTGCACAGAACCTTTTACTGGGTACAGGGCATAAGCCCACTAGCTCAAGGGGACACATTTGCACTGCAGATTCTGGGCAAATCAAGCCTGGTGCTGGGCACTTTTTTGTAACCATTAATCAGCTACCAATTAATCAATAAGTGGTGGTCGTACATAAAAATTGCATTTAGAAAGGACTGTTAAAAATAGCATACATTTTTCTTTTTTTTTAAATAAAAGAAAGCAGAAATGTGTAAATGTAGGATACTTCTGGAAGAATTAACAAAAAGCTGATAAGAATTGTGGCCTCTAGGGAGGGGTATGAAGGACTGAAGGTGTAAAGTGGAGGCTAGGTTTATTTTTCACTTATTTTTATACTGTAATTTTTAATTTTTAATGTGCATATATTCTATGTTACTCTCAAATTAAAAAAATAAACCAAAGGCAAGGGAGACAACAATGCATCTTCTGTTGGAGACTAGGTGAAGGAATTACAGCATATCCATAGAATGAACATTATTTTAGCTGTTAAAAATTGTGAGGAATTTATTCATTAACTGAAATGAAAAGATATGAGAAAAGTTGATTATAGAGGTGCCTAAACTGCCACATTTCTGTGGCCGAGCTCTTCAAAAGCCTGGCCTCTGACCTGCAGCATCAGCATCCGCAGGAGCTGTCAGAGATGCCAATTATCAGCCCCATCTCAGACCTGTTGAATCAGAGAGTTGGGAAATGAACCAGCAATCTATGTTTTAATGAGATGCACAAGGGATAGTTAAAGCACACCAAAGTCTGAGAAGCATTGCCTTTGGGGACTAGCGTACATTGATGTCTGTATGTGTGGAAGTGTGCAAAAGGATGCCTCAAAGATGATCTTCGCTGGGGCTGGGATTTGAAGGATTTTCCTCAACTTTTTCTGTTTCGTTGGAATTGTTGACAATAAACATGCATAACTTTTTATTTAAAGAGATATTTCACAAACCAGAAATTTCACTGTTTAAAAGTATACAATTCTGTGCTTATTGAAAGTATGTTCATAGGGTTGTGCAACCATCATTGCTCTGTAATTCCAAAGCATTTTTATCATCCCCCCAAAAGACCCATTCTTCATCATTAGTCACTTCCCATTTTTTCCTATGCAGCAGCCCTGGGCAACCACTAATTTACTTTCTGTCTCTCTAGATTTGTCTTTTCTGGACATTCACTTGCATAATTTTAAAATCTGAAAAAATAATGGAGTTGTTTTTATTTGAAAAAACAATGCAAAATGAAAACAAGGGAGATAATTTGATGACGGGGTGTTTAGGTCAAAATAAAAAAATGCGGATTATTCTAAAACAGGATTTAGGAGACCGATGTTTATTTCTCTTTTAGCTTTGATTGCTAACCCAAGGAGGAAGCTGGTTTGGGCCATAAGTGTCACCATGGTAGGTGTGGTTCTCTTTGATTTTGCTGCTGACTTCATTGATGGGCCCATCAAAGCCTACTTATTTGATGTCTGCTCCCATCAGGACAAAGAGAGGGGCCTCCACTACCATGCCCTCTTCACAGGTAGGGAATATTCCAGAAGTCTCTCCTTCAGCTCCCCAGACAGGGAGGCGCTTCCAATGTAGCCATCAAGAGTCCCTGCCCGTGAAATTTTTTGAATGAATGGATCAGTTGATGGAATGTTCCCATCACGTGGGCGCTGTCTCCCGGTGCATCTCTCTGAACAAAGTCAGCTTGTGACTGGGGCGGCAGAATTTTTGCAAGGGAAGTTTACAAAAGAGCTTTCTTAAGAATACTTTGTGAAGACAATTACAACTGAGATGAAAAGAAGCCTTGTGCATTTTACTGTTGCTTTAGAGCAGTGAATCTCAAACATCAGCAATGTCTACATCAGTTTTCCCAGGAGGTTGTTGTAAAGGCAGTTTCCTGGGCTCCTTCTCTAGTTACTCTGATTCAGTGGGTCTGGGTTGGCACCCAGACATTTGCATTTTATTTGGTAAGAAAGAACCTCAGATGGTTTTGTGGCAGGTGTCCTAAGAACCATGTTTAAAAAACAAAAATAGAAACAAACCAAGCAAACAAAAACCCCATGTCTTAGAGATTTTTTAGTTATATAAAGAGTTGGCATTTCCTCAACCCTCTGGTTTGAAAAAGTTCATGCCTGGAGCACAATAGAGGCCCTATTGATTTCTTGGGGCTGTTGCCAGCCGTCTTTGGTTGCTGTTTTTCATTCGTTTAGAGTAATGTTGCTCAGAGCACCAGTTAATGCCAAGCTAGAACACAGGATGAAACATAGGGTGACAGCAGGATCCTGGCCCCTGAGGATTTTTATATCTAAGAAAGGGACTCTATCAGCTCACCTTATCTGATTGTCTTCATAGCCTAGCCAGTGCATTTATGTTTTGGTATTTTCTGTGTCCTTCCATGACCAGGTAGGTCCATGAGAACCAAGGTCTTGAGTTTTGCTCACAGTTTCTATCTCTAGAGCCAAGAGTGATGCCGGCACAAGGAAGTCATTGGGTCAATATTTGTCATCTGAGCAAACATTTGAATGAAGGAATGAGACTGCTACTCCTTATATGGAAGACAGAGGGGCAGGAGGCTAGGCCCCTCTGTCACTGGCCCTTGACCACTGTGTCTCCAAAGACATAGCCAAGGCTTGAGCCTTTCTCCCCACCTCACCTCTGCTCTTGGCTTCAGTTCTCACACCATTTTCCACCTGAGTGGACACCTCACTCAGGTTCTTCTACCCCACTGGCCTCCTGTTGTCACTGAATCCTGCCCAGCCTATGCCTGCCCCAGGGCTTGACATGAGCTCCTGCCCTGCCTGGGACACCCTTCCCCAGATAATCCCATGGCTTTTGCCTTCATTCCACTCATTTCTCATTAAATGTCTCCTCATCAGTGAGGTCTTCCTTGGCTCCATATCTAAAATAGTGACCCTTCGTTTCTCCTCTTATTCTTATCTGGTTTGACTTTTCTTCCTAGTAGTTATCACTACCAGACTGACCAGTTATCTGTCTGTCTCTATCATCTATTTTTTAAAAAATTATTATTTATCTTACCCATTTAGAATGTCAATTCCCGGTGAACAGACCTCTTGTTTTGTTCTCTGCTGAGTCTCTTATTCCTAGGACAGTGTCTGCTACATAGTAGGTGCTCAGTAAATATTGAACACATCTTTATGAAATGCCTTTTATCTACTAATAACCCTGTATTCAGTATTTTAATTTGTTTTATCTTAATCCTGACAATGGCTATGGGGAGGTGATGTGAGTCTCCTTTTTCAGATATGAAAACTGAGCTGTGGAAGTTCTGGTGTGTTACAGCTGGCTAATGTCGGCTTGGAAGAGTCAATTCTTACATTTTTAGACATTTAATGAGCTTGTTGTCATCTCACTGATGGTTTGAAATTGGTCAAAATGGAAAGCAAAGCTATAAATATTGGCTTCCTCCCACCCCCACCCCCAGCCAGTGGTTAAAGCATATTGCTCTGGGTGAGGAAGAGGTTTAACAGATTAAGTATGTTTTAAGTACCTTACCCTGGTCTACAGCTAGAGGGTCCCCAAATGGAGATTCAAACTTTATTCTCCTAACTTGAATCCCACAATTCCTTCTGTTTTAGCATAATTTGCTGAAATTAATGACAACAAGATTGAAGGAGGTATTTTGGCTTTTGATGCCAACACATTGGGAGTTCACTGATTTAAAGGACATTGGACATTGCGGCCGCCACTTCGCGGGTTACAGCAGAATTAGGCTGGGCCAAATGACCTTTGCTTTGCTGTCTCTGATAGTAGAAGATAAAACTTTGTATTTTAGAAGCTTTTTCAAGGCCAACACATGATAGTACTTCTGTGAATTTAGGACAATATATTCATCTTGAGATTTTCTGGTGATATTAACATATGGTGTATGGCAGCAAACACATAATTTTGATACTACCTTGGTTCAGGCTCTCAAGACATCATTTCTGAACTTTAGTACATATCCCTTAACCGGTTTTCCAGTCTCTAACTTCTTTCCACTCCAGTTGAATCAATTGGCAGCTTCCAGATTTATATTCCTGAAAGCCAACTATGACCAGAGTACTCTCCTGCTTGGTGACCTGCAGTGGCTCCCTATTTGCCTCTGCATAAAGAATGAATTCTGGGGGTGCCTCAAGGCTGTGCCCCCCACTGCTGATGAAAATGTATAATAAAGATGGTTTGGGGTCCCTTCCCCCCCAAAAAGAAAAAAGAATGAATTCCTAGACAGAAATCAAAGCTGCCACAATCTGCTCCTTACCTTGCTCTTAAATTAAGTTTTTCTTCCCTTGATTTCTTCCACATTCTCTGTGCTCTGAACAATTTTTCATCACATTCCCAGGATCAGAGGGCAGGTCTGCTTTATTTTCCAAATACCTCCCACCTCCACTACTGCCTGACACATTGCAGGTGCTCAAAATAAATACAAAAGGGACAAATTATGTAGCCTGTCCTTTATTTTCCAGGGTCTGTGTTCATGTAGGGAGTCTTTGTCCTTTTCTACCTATGGAGATCAAATCTGCTTGGAAATTTTCACCATTTCCCAGGAAGAACATCTTTCATTCTCTTCTAAATTGCGGGTATACTTAATCCCTAACTTGGTCAGAGGTTTGGTCTACAAAGTATTTGAAGTGTAAAAGTTTATCAAGGATGAACATAAAGATGCCAGTGAGATAGCTAACTGGCGTTAAGAAACAGTTGAGGCTTCTAGTTTACCACACACACACATCTTGAATTTTTACCCCCTCTTGGGGCTTACTTATATAGTCTGCTTGGATTGACATGCCAGAATATTACTGACTAGGAGGCTTAAACAACAGAAATTTATTTTCCCACAGTTCTGGAGGATGGAAGCCTGAGATTAAAGTGTCATCAGGGTTGGCTTCTGGTGAGACTTCTCTTCCTGGCTGGCATATGGCTGCCTTCTCGCTGTGTCCTCACATTGGCCTTTTCTCTGCCCATGTACACACCATGTGTCTCTTTCTCTTGTAAAACACCAGATCTATTCGATTAGAGCTATACCCTTATGGTCTCATTTAACTTTAATTACCACCTAAAAACCCTGTCTCCAAGAACAGTTACACTGGAGGTCAGGGTATCAATGTATGCATTTTGGGGGGATACAATCTAGTCCAGAATCGGGCTCTTTCATTTTTATCTTTGTAGTCATTGAACCTAGCTTCTAAGTCTCGGGAAAGATGAGATATGGAAGGAGCACACCCACTTTTCTCTCTCTTCCTCTTCCCTCAGTCCCTGTCCTCTTTCTCCTTTGTATAGAGTAGAATTTTCAAATAAACAGCAAAAGCACAAAAGATATTTTTATATTCATAAGAACAGCTAAAGAACCTGAATATCGGGGCCCAATCTAGCAGTTCCCGGGTTCTCATGTATAATGCCCCTTTTAAGGTCTTATAAAATTCTCCCAACCCTGTTCCTGAAGGGTGGGTTGTTGGAGGCAAGCGAGAAATTTGGCCCACTCCCACGAAACCATTTTACTACCTCTGAGCTTAAATTAACAGTCCAGTCCCAAAGGGCTATTTTCGTGTACAATAATCTCTATCTTGGCCTTTGCCTTTTCTACCTTTTTTAGTTATTTGAATACATTTCAAATCAACCTTATTACACTATACCTTCTTGAGGGAAGGGGAGTATCTAGAGAAAACATGTGTGTGAGAGGATAAGGAATATATGAATGAGTGAGAACCAATGATAAGTGCATATTGATGAGCTCTTTGGAGGACTGGCACTACCACACAAAAATCCAGGCTGACTTCCTTCAGACTTTACCCATGTTCCTGGCCTCTTCTATATCATCACTTGATATACGCTCAAGGGATGTATTGTTTAGGAAGGGGTTGGTTGCAAGTAACTGAAGCCCACATAACAGTGTCTTAAACACATAGCTTTTTGTTTTTCTTTCACAAAACAAGATATCTGGGAGTAGGTGTCTGCTGACTTTTGGTCAGCAGCTATATGTCAGAGCTGGCAATTTTATGTTTATTTGATTGTTTCATCAATATGTTGCCTCCTGAATACAAGATAGCTGCCTTGGGTATCTATATCATGTTTGTTTCAAGATAGGAAGAAAGGAGAGGAGAGTTAGGGAACGAGGAAGGAGAAAGTAAAAGAAACGGCATTCTCTCTTTAAAGGAAGAAAGCAAAAACTTTCCTAGAAACTTCCACAGACTTCTGCTTGTTTCTCATTGGGCAGAATTAAGTCATGTGAGCATCCAGTGACCTAAGGAAGTTGCTTCCCTGAGCCAATTTGGGTTCTATTATCAAGGAGGGAAAAATAATTATAATATCATTGAATAGGCAAAAGCCAAAAGTTATGACATAAAATGCAAACACAGTTGAGAATTAGACTAATTAAAACAACTAAAGACTAATTAAAACAACTATTATAAGAAAATGACAGAGTTTTTAAAGTCCTCCATATTGGTAAATAATTAAAGGATAATTATATTCCAAAGTTTTATGCATTGTTGACAGTTTTACCAGATCTGCACATTTATTCACACTTTCTCCTGTATTGTA